CCTGCCTCACTGAACTTCTAGAGAATTCCTCTCCATGGGGATATTTGCCTAAGTTACCACCTGTTTCTGGGGTCTCTAAGACCACCCCCAGGTTGAGCGACTTGCTAGAAGGGCCCACAGGACTAAGAATAGACCTGTACTCACAACTGTGATTTATTACAGAGAAAGAACACCAAGCAAAATCAGCAAAGGGAAAAGGCACATGAACAAAGTCCAGATGAAATGAGCACGAGCTCCAAGAGTCTTTTCCCAATGGAGTCACATAGGATGAGCTTAATTCCTCCAGCAATGATGTATAATAATATGTATAAAGTACTGTCCACCAGGAAGCTGGCCTGAGCCTGGTCATAGGAGTCCAGGGTTTTTATTGTGCCCAGTCAAGTAGGCACTCTTTGCCTAGCATGTACCAAATTCATGATTCCCAGAAGGAAAGCAGGTGTTCAACATAAACTCTATCGTCTGTACAAACATTTCAGGCACAGTAAACCACTCTTATCAATTAGGGAATGGGGGGAACACCCGTGAAATCCAAACTGCTGGACAGTAGCCACAGGTGAACCTCAAAAGCAGGCCTTTCTAAGGATAACAGGTTCAGGCCTGCTTTGGTAACTCTTTTCTGCACACCATCTGTGAAATATCTTGTAACTGAGCCATAACCTTGTGCCAAGGCCTATATGTACACCACTTACCGGCCAGGATGTCATCCTCTTCATCCTTTGGGAGGGAGATGAACCAGCTCCTATTCTCCTATTAACCTGTTTTCTCAGATCTCACTCCTGGTGCACTTGTGTTAGTCTGGGTCCTCCAAGAAGCAGACACCAAGACCAAGAAGGGATCAGCTATAGAACAGACTTACTAGGGGCAGTGCTGGTGAGAAAAAGCAGGGTGGGAGCTGGGGTTGGTGGGAGGCTGGGAGGCAACCAGCCCCTGATGCAGGCATGACCCCAGGTAAATGGAAGAAGGAAGGTTGGGTGAAAGTGACTTAGAGACTATAACGCAATCCTAAAGGAGTCTGGCAAGACCGTCAGGTAGTCTTCAAGCCAAAGTGAAGGAGTCAACTCTCTGCCATGCTCAGTCCCTGGTTGGCAGCAGCATGAGGCAGAGCCTGTGCGTTAATGTGGGGATGACCAGAGTGCAGAGGCTGGAGGGCCTTCAGTCCCTTATGTTCCTTCCTGCTGGAGAGCTGAGGGGTGCATTCTCCTGGCTGCCACGACCATGACTGTAGCTCTCAAAATACACCTGAAAAACATTTGTGATCAGACAAATATTTAGCACCAACAGCACATGGTAATTTGCAATAATACCTTTCAGCTAAAAATTTTTTTAAAAAGGTTAATTATAAAACCCCTTAAATAAAATAATCTTTTTAATTTAATAAAAAGAACAATATCCTATGTGGGTGAATTCTGGGGAAAAGACTTTTCCAAATTGCTTGGTGAATTGGAAGCTGACACACAGCATATTGTATTATGACTAAATCAAAGTTACTCAATGACAAAAAAATACTTCTAAATGTTCATAACTCAAGTAATTTTTCTGAAATATGGTTTACATTAATTAATACTTAGAGTAAAATACCATTTGTGAGTTTTTCCTCCTGATTGACCTCAGATACCCTTGATAAAGAAAAAGCATTCCTACACATTCTACACCTAGTTTTTAGGTTGACTATAAATGACCACACGTACAACTTCTGAGGCAAACAAACTGAACAATGTTTATAGATATTTCTAAAATTATTTTATATACAATTTGGGAACTTCTAAATCATATATGCTTAGATGATAAAATGGATAAATACCTTCTTACATAGTATCTAATAGGATTTGTTTTCTAATTTTTATCAATGCTATCCTCAAAGGCAACATTTGTCATCAATATTTGCAACATAAAACTCACCCAGGGAGACTAGAGTTTTTGCATCTGCTACGATTCAACAGAAAACTGGTCCCACAGCTGCTCTGGCAGCTCCTTCCAACCAATATGCTTTTAACTAATTCAGATTAAATAGTTCCTAAAATCAAACAGTTAATTCCTACCAAAAAAGACTGTTCCACCATAGTAGCTAGGTTCAGCCTTTGCATGGACTTTATGACTTGCTGGTACAAATAAGAGAAGGTACTAGAAATAAATAATAAATAAAATATATAACATGAAAGAAGTGCAAAATGTTTATTTTTTTAATGCAATTAATACCATTTTAATGTAGGAGAGGCCATCTTTATTTACAGGCTAATAAAAAAATACTAAATTCAACACAACTAGATATAATACATTTGTCAAAAATCCTATAGATTTGAGGCTGACCTTCTGTGGAAGACTGGATAGGTGGGATAGTGATTACATAATAAGGATGTCAGAAATGTGCAACTTACACATGAATCAATATACTGTTTCTAAACATGAAAACAAAGTAAGTCCACGGTGGGGAGAACAGAACCAGCACCAATGACAAGCTGGGCTAACCTTTGACAACTGTTCAGCTAAAACCATTCAGTTATATTACCAAGGATCAAAAAACTGTCATCTCTTTTCAATCTATTTTAACAAGTCTCATAACCCAAATGTTGTCTGCCATCATATTCACAACAGACACTTAGAATTTTAGAAGTTAAATGTAAATATATACACACATACATACAACCCTCACACTCTTGAAAATTTTTTCTCAGCTATTCTGTTTGTGTGTGCATATGTATATTTTTCTCTTTCCTTTTTAATTGTAATGGCTTTTCAACAGTTCTCTCCTTATCTGTTTGGTTTGGTCCTTGAAACTCGTTATGAGTTTCTTTCCTGTAAACGTGAAAACATAAAAACTGTTTCTCATTCAGTCCTTTGGGAAAAGTCTGTAATTCTTAGTTCATCCCCCAAAGACTATATATTCTAAAATGAACTTTTAACTGAGTACTTTCTAAACACCTGATGGGAATCTCATAGTAGCATCTGAGCAACAGTGCTCTCACATAGGCCTGCAAAAGCAAGGTGAGGCAGGAATGAAATGGGAACTGACCTTTGCAATTTTAAACTACCTGGGAAATTTTTCATTCTGCTTATCAGCCCAAGAAAGTTTGTATCACAACCATCTCATACAATTCTTCATATTACACGGCGTCCTCATAGAAATGCCAATTCAAGGCTCTAAAAAAAAACGCTTTACAGACATATTAGTTCTTGAAAATCAAAAAGTGTTAGCTAATATTTCCTAAGGAATCAGTCTTAGTAGATAAAGGATACGCTCTGAAAACCTGCCATGGCCATCCCATCCCAGGCTGTGTTTTAAAAAGGTAAGATAACATGGTTTCAAGTCAAAACAAAAAGTTTTCAGATACGTGACAATGGAAATTTTTTTGACTAAATGAATACACTGGCTAAAATCCAGTTTGCAGATCTCATGTCATGCATGGGGGCATGTGTTGGAGCAGGGGATGCATAAGGAGAAGACTTTTTCTTTTAAGAGGCCTAGCCTGCCAGGAGCAAACAATAACACGTAGCTTGCTTATTCAGTTGTACAATTAAATACTAGCTTCTGCTTAGAGGCAACGCTATGCTACAAGGTATTTTAATATCAGTAACCATATATACTATGAAGTGCATTTCTATTACAAATTAACATGGTGATATACAGATGAACAAAACCACCCAAAACAAACCATAAATGAGCAACAGTTAAAACATAAAATTTATAAATAGCAAAACCACCAAATAAAGTATATACATTTTATAGATTTACCTATGAACAAATATACAGTGCATCTAGGAAAGATAAAAGAACATGTTTTATATCACATAACATTTGAATATTAGAAAGAGATACTGATAATACTCTAAAAGCCTTCTCCCAATCAATATTCCCTTCAACGTATGTCCTTTAAAACAATGATACTGGCAAAACTATCATCTCTTTAAATGCAATATTTTCACTTTCCCCTGCCCAGTACAGTGGCCTGCGCAAACAGTAAATAAGAGAGCGGGCACTCCATGCTTATTCCTGGGATAAGCGAAGTAGCAATCTAGTTTACATATGAAAAGCACTTTAGTCAAACAAACACAAACAAGAAAAGCCAACCAAAACAATTACCATATCAAAACATGTTCACCTTATCTTACCCTCCAGTGCCTCAGCCTTTTGGATGATTGGCAAATCAGTTAGGTACTTTCAGAGAAAACTGCTTTTGAATGTATCTCATTGACATGGTAATAAATTTGAACTTTTACTGACAGAAAAGATGTATCTTTAAGTGCCAGGACTATCACAAGACAAACACTATGAACAACTCAAAATGTATAAAACTGTCTTTTGTGGATTCCAGAAAAAAAGCATTTGTGACTAAACATTAATAACGTAATACTCCAATACCATGCACACAAGATCAACATAATTGAGAACAGATATTTTACACTCATCTGCACTTCTTCTAAAAACCCAAAATGTACAATGTACAATAACTTTTCTGAAACTATTTCTAGTGCAGCATTGATTGATAAAGGATTGCTTAAAGAAAACTATTTTGTACTGAATGAATAACACTGAAAAGCAAACTCATAAATGATCATTAAGAACTGATTTAGATATCAGGAAGCATATTAAATTAAAAAAAAGAAAACACTAAAACCATTCTTTCAGTTAAAAAAAAATTTAAGTCAAGCCTACATTTCTGCAATTCAAGTCCTGTCCTTTGAAACACCACACTTAACATTCTGGAATATACAATATGAATTCATTTATTCTCTTATATTTAAAGGCTATTTCTTAAAAAAATTCCAGTTAGCACTGTCCTTCTACTAAATGGAAAAGGAATCAAATAAAACAGTAGTGCTTCATTTAGTACTTAAGAGTCTAGTACTATCCTTTTGGGAAACACATGCTTTGGTGCTTTACAATTTTAAGAAAATCAAAATTACATGCAATAGCTAATTATGGTATACCACAGAAAATAGGAAGTTTTATGCATTTAGAATTGTTCACGTGAAGCCCTGAGGTACCCGCCTTTCATTTAGGCAACAGCCTCCCTTGATCTTATACATACAGTCTTTGTCACCGTCTTCCCTAGTGCCCCAAATTCAGAAGAGTCTGATTAACAATCTTGTCTGGAGATAGTCAGTTTAATAAGATTTTTTATGATACAGACTGTGCAGATCATCTAATTTAGAAGCACCATCTTCGAGTGGAGTTTCACTTGAAGTTCCTAGGTCTCCATTTTCATGTCCATCAGTTACTGCTTTCTTATTAAATCCTGAAAGAAAGAGAAAAAAACCAGATACTTTCTAGTTAAAAAAAAAAAAGTCATACTTTTATTGAGCTATAACAAAGGAATGCCCACTGTAATTAATAATAATAATATGGAGCAAATAATGGGACCCTAGATTAATCAAGTCAGCAGTCTCTGACAAAGGAATTCTTCCTTCTTATAGCAGATATCAAACACTGTACAGATTTTTAAATATTATCTATTGGACCTATCTAAAAATTATATAAAATTTCCTACCAAATTTTCTATGAAACTTAGAACTGACACACACAATCCCAAAATTCAGTAAGTTCTACTCACACAAATACCTGTTGAACTGTAAACTGTATTTTTCTTTTACATTTTGCTTTCACATTATTTAACTTCAGTTCACTGAGGCACATACTAGTTTACCACTACATCTAATTTGTCCAATGTCCAGATAAAATTTAAAACTAATTTTGGTTAATCTACAAATAGTACACATATTTGAGTCACATTTTAAGTGGTTTGCAATTTACACAGGTGATAGAGAACCTTTTAGCCTCAGCTACAAAAAGCAAGGGACAAGACCTCTAATCCTGACAAAAAATAGAAGAAAGGGTGAAAGACAACAAAAGCAAAGGAAAAGTAGCTCAACAGCACAAGGTTTTGACATAGTGCCACAATCGTTTTGTTCAAGATGCACGGGGAGAACGATTGCTACTGCTGTCTTTGTATAGATAATTCACAACATATAGATTTACCAAAAGGGCAACAGTTCATCAGTTCACTATAAAACTCTATGCCAGCAGTTCTCAAACTTTTTGGTCTCAGGATGCCTTTACACTCTTAATAAGTACTGAGAATTGCAAAGAGCTTTTGTTCATGTGGGTTATTAATGTTATGTGAGGTACTGATGTTTACCATATTAGTGATTAAAACTGAGGAATCTAGGGCTTCCCTGGTGGCGCAGTGGTTGAGAGTCCGCCTGCCGATGCAGGGGACACGGGTTCGTGCCCCGGTCTGGGAAGATCCCACATGCCGCGGAGCGGCTGGGCCCGTGAGCCATGGCCGCTGAGCCTGCACGTCCGGAGCCTGTACTCCTCAATGGGAGAGGGCACAACAGTGAGAGGCCCGCGTACCGCAAAAAAAAAAACAAAAAACAAAAAACAAAACTGAGGAATCTAAAAAAATTTTATTACTTTATTAAAAATAATAAACTCCATAAATGTTAACATAAAAAGCATATTTGTTTAGTGAAAATAATTCTACTTTCCAAAAAATTTATTTTACAATTTTGCAAATATCCTTAATGTCTGGCTTTACAGAAGATAGCTGGATTCTCATATTTGCTTCTACTCAATGAGTTACAAGTATATGAAGAAAGTTCACCCTCACACAGATATATAGATAGAAGAGGGAAGTAACTTAGCTTTTTCAGGTAAGTGTCAATATTCTTCTTTGATCATATACCAAAATTTTACAGTATAGAATCTAAAACCATATCAATGAACTTTCACACTCTGCTACATTAAATCATTTGTCTATCTTGCACTTTGAATGGCTCTTTTACCCATGCAGGATTTAGTAACATCACGCACTGGTCATTTGAAAAATATTAGATCACTGAGTTACGTAGCAATTGCAAAAGCTGACACATTTCATTTTACTATATCAAAAAAATCACATTCATTAATATCACCACCAATCTTATTAGAAAAGTTCTTTAAGTGTCAGGAAGCTGTTGAGCTCTTGGTGGTTGATGCGTGTTTTACAAAATTCTAATTTTCACTTGAAAGCTCACGTTTTATCACTGGCAATAAAGTCAGTTGTTCTCTTTGAAGTGATGGATTCACTTTGTTCATTTTAAAGAAAATGGCTGCCAAATAGTCTGAACAACCATAATTTGTCAGTCATTCTTTCAAGTAAAAATTGTCATGTTGTCATCCATGAAAAAAATGACTAGTTCAGCTAGCAAATTAATCACTTAAGTACTTTTCCTCAAGACCAGCATCTCTGTTCAGCATACACTCAGTAATACAATGCATACTTCCCATTTCATCACACAGAATATTAAAAAGTCATATACTCAAGATTTAATAAAATTAGCAGTTTTTACTATTTCATCAAGGATATTCTTAAGAGAAACTGGCATTTTCTTCTTTTTCATTCTGAGTGGATGGCAAGGAAGAACACAGTGATCACTAGTAAAGTGGTGCTACTGCTTTGACTCACACTAAAGTATCAACAGTTTTACCCCCATTGCTTTTGTACCATCAGTGCAAATATCAACACAGCAAAAAGAGACAAACAATGCCTTAGCATTATTATGAAAAGTTTTGACCTCAAGAACCCCCTGAAAGGTCTCAGGGTCCCCCAAAGATCTATGTATCACAATTTAAGAACCACTGCTCCATGTAAAAGAAAGTGCTAGAATTTTTCTTTAAAATATGTATAAATGATAGCAAAGGAACTAAACCAAAAATCCTCAAGATCACATATCCTGATTCTATTAATAACAATCATGAGATAACAGTCTAATCACTTATTCATATTTAGCCTGTAAAATCATTGCATTATGAGAGAAGAATGCGCATTACAACAGCAAGATGACATTAAGATGTATCTACTCTAAAAGGCACGCTGGTCTTTGTTTCAGAGTCTAGAAAACTTGAATTTTATTTATTTTTCAAGGATCAGTTATAGTTTAGTAATTGGTCACGTACTTGTCCACGATGACTCTAGAAGAACTTACATGTAAATAAAATTTTGGTGTAGTTACTGGTGTACAATAAAACTATAATTTAGCAAGGGAAAGCTATCCATTTTGTTAATGATGGTTTCCCCATCATTAAAACAGTGTTACTAAAGAACAGCTAAGGCTTTTATATTTTTAAAGTTTATTAATAATAAATACATTAATTATAACTTTTAGAGTAATTTTTACCTTGTAACACTTTGATTTCCCCACTTGTGTCTTTGCAACTAGCACCAGGATTACTACTTCCCTCTAACTCATCAAGGTACAAACGGTAACGATGTCCACTCTCATCTTCATATTCCACATTTTCATCATCAGAATCCACTTCAGGAGCCACATAAACTACTTCAAATTCAATCTCTCCTCTCTAAAATGGGGAAAGAAAATGAGGAAACCAAGTTACTGTAATTATAATTTTAAAAGATTTCCAAATTCTCTGTGGTGAGAAGTAGTATCTGGACCTCAGATGTATCTCCTTTCAAGACAACAAATAATGACATTTTAGAATCTCAAGAGGTAAAAGTAATTTCCTTTTAATATTACAGGTTTTTCTACTGATCAAAATATTTTTGTTAACAGACCTAAAATAAAAAAGGATGTTTATTCAATTTACAGAATTTTGGAACAAATATTCAGTTTAAAAGTCATTTTGCCATTTTATACTTTCCATAGTAGCAATTCAGCAAATCCATCTAAACAGTCAGATATTGAAGTTGCACCCAAGGAACCACACAAACTTTTCTCTAATTCAAGAAACCTCTACACAATGATTTCTTGTTTCTTACTGAATAGGTCTTGAGCCTTTCCTTAACTTTCACCGAGTGCCGAAGTGTTAAGGTATTCTGTTTAGTAGTAATAGTAATTACTGTATTTATTGTACAAAATTATTATCTTTCAATCCTCAGAATAACATTATTATAGTCCCTTGTACATGAATGAGAAACCTGAGTTAGTCCTGGAGAGAGCAGGTAACTCTCTCAATAAGATGAACAAGTAAAACAGAAAAAGAGAAATTTGACTCCAAAGTCCTTGCTCTTTCTACTATACTAGACTAAATGTGTAGTATTTATACTGTAATTCTTTAATAACAACTTTATGTTCAGGTAAAAAGTTACAGATTATTTCATGTTAAAAAAATTACAAGCTACTATTGTCATTTAATAAGAGACTGCAATCACGATTCCCAAGTCTGGTATTTATAATTCTCTGAAAATTATAGCCTGCCTTTGCTCAAAAGAAAGCATGCCATTTTTTTTTTTTATTGCTACTCACTAAGTTAGTCTCTGCTGCTCCTCTTTCCCAGCAGTTTAAGGTTATACTTCAGAATTTTAACATGCGCTTAGTGTTTCCATACAACTTTGTATCTCATGAACTGCATCTCGTGAACTGCCTGTTTACATCTCCTTTACCACAGCTGCTGTTCATCTCTTACGCTACTGGATGACACCCAAGTTGAGCTGAGAAAACACCAACTTAAAGAGACTAGCACTGCATTCTTAGGCAATGCTTTAAAAATACCATTTTGGGGGAGATGGTAAATGCAGTGGTCTTCAGTAAAGTTCTCTAGATGACAGAATCAGGTCTGTGGGTAGCTGTCATGAAGAAACAGATTTTGCGCTTAATATGAGGAAGAGCTTTTTAAAAATCAGCAACGTACAACAATGAAATGGCCTGTTTTATCACCAACAAGTCCTCCCTTTAATACAATTATTTAATTAGTGATATTGTAGATATTTATGCATCACGTAAAGTTAAACTAAATGAGCTATAAATTCACTTTCAACTTTGAGATTCAATTCTACCCTGGCATACTACGCTGATGATCCAACAAATATCTCAGTGTACTAACCAACACCTCTCTAATTCCCTCAACCTTATTCTTGAAGGAAAAAAACAAAACAAAACAAAACAAAAAAACATTGTAAGTACTCTGGATAACAAATATGACTCCTGGATATGACTCTCAACTCTTTATATGTTCTGCAACCTTAAGCAAATCATTTAATTTCTAAGAACCTTAGTTCACTCATTTTAAATAAGGGGGTTGGGCTAAATGATTTCTAAGGACCCTTGAGTGCTAACATTTATGACTGTAAAATCAATCCACTTCTAACATTGTTTTTTCTATAGTACTTCATATTTGTATAGCGTTTTAGTCATTAATAATGTTTTGCCTTCTAAGAGCCAAGTCCTGTTCTGAACACTTTATATGTATTAACATACTTAATCCTTACAGCTCTCAGATGAGGACACTGCAGCATAAAGGACTTAAGTAACTTGCTCAAAACTATACAGCTGTGAAGAAGAGCAAATCTTTTTTCAGTAAAACTGGCTGAATGTCTTCTATAATAGGAAACTAGTATCTATATATATACACTGTACTACTTGAGAAACCTCCTAGGGAAGTATGAAATATTCAACAGATTCAAAAAGGAACAATCAACAGATCCAATTTTAGTTACATAAAGGGTACTTACCTGCTGGGAAAGAATGGTTACAGCTTCTTTATGCTTTGTGTCCCTTAGGTTAACTCCATTAACAGCAAGAATAGCATCTCCAACATGTAGCCCTCCACATCTATCAGCAGGTTGCCCTGGGTGGATCTCAGAAATGAGGATTGGAACACCATGTTCCTTTCCACCCTAACCGAAAAAAGCAGTAAATTAGTTTACCTTTGTATAGTCACAGACTATTCTACTGATATTTTCCTAAAAACATTTCAGTAAGCACCTATACTATCTCTTATTATAAATACTAAGTGAAATCCTATTTGCTATTATATTTAGGTAATGGTAAATCAAATTATTATGAATATCAAAGTTACTTCTAAATAAAACGATTAATAATATACATGTGCTTTTTAAAACGCATTCCAGAGCCAAAAAAAAAAGAACCCTAAAAAACAAAAAAACAATTAGCTACTCTCATAAATAAATAAATATATTTTATGCATTAGTAGTCCACAGCACTATTAGATTTTATCAAATCTGAGTCACTATGAACGGTAAGACAAACCATTTTTTTTTTTTTTGCGGTACACGGGCCTCTCACTGTTGTGGCCTCTCCCATTGCGGAGCACAGGCTCCAGACATGCAGGCTCAGCAGCCATGGCTCACGGGCCCAGCTGCTCCGCGGCATGTGGGATCTTTCCGGACCGGGGCACGAACCCGTGTCCCCTGCATCGGCAGGCGAACTCTCAACCACTGCGCCACCAGGGAAGCCCAGACAAACCATTATTTTATGTTCCACAAAAATAATTATAAGATGAATCTCAATTTCACAGATGTTAAAATGTGAAAAAATTTGCAACACAAAGTTGATGAAATGCAATATTTGGTACATTTCACCTTCTAGCTTTTAATCATAATTGTGTGTGTGTTGTTACCCATGGGGATAAATTTAGTTATTTAGAAAATATATTCAGAATACTTTATTTCCCAATGATGTCCAACAAAGGAGCATGATAATACTAGACAACTGTAGAAAAGAAGACTGGAAGCACTACTTCTTACTGTAATTGAAATGCCAAGGCCTTCATGATCTTCCTTAAGGAGGAAAACTTTTCTAATTGGACCAACACCTTGGCTTTTCTTTAAAGAGTCTTGATCCTTATTGAAGGAAAAAAAGAAGAAAAATTAGTACTACTTAAATAATATACCATATAGAATAAACCCATACTATTATAACTTGCTTTTAGGAGTCTTTATTAGCTGCCTGTAATGGATACACAGTATAGTGTTAAGAAAGTAATTAATAAATAGATAAAATGGAAAAGCAAAAATAGTTCTTCTGTTAACATGGTGAAACACAGATGATTTTCTCACGCTCTTATTAACGTCTTTAATACATCTGGTACATCTCTTTTTAAATTGTAGGACATTACAAAAGAAATCACTGCCAGGAATTGATAAACAAATATCTTCAAGAAATGAAAGGAGGTAACTTTACCTTAACTGGAAAAATACCTTAAAGATCTATATCCATTTTAACTGATTTGTAGAACTGAAAAACATAATGCCAACTGGATCATTAATTACTTTTTCATTTCTTTGCGTTCTGGAGTCTACCTTTTAACTAAAGGACCTTGTTCCATTAATAATTCTTTCTCTGGTACCTTTACTCTT